TCGACGGAGACACGCCCTTAAGAGCGGGAACGTGCCCGGTAAGTACATTTTACCCATGCCGATTCGAGAAATCCATGTACCTACGATTGTTATGGTACCCTTTGAACATTGGATTGACCCCTTTTGTTCACCCTTTGAACATCGGATTGACCCCGTTGTTCACCCACTGAACATCGGATTGACCCCGTTGTTCACCAATTGAACATCGGATTGACCCCATTGTTCACCTTCTGAACATCGGATTGACCCCATTGTTCACCCTCTGAACATTGGATTGACCCCGTTGTTCACCCTCCTGAGCATGGGATTAACCCCCATGTTCACATCAAATCCTCGGGCGAGGACCCCCAGGTGCTCATCGTTTGAGCCTTTTCAAGACCTGCTGGCGAGGACCCACCAGGCAAACCATCAAATCCTCGGGCGAGGACCCCCAGGTACTTTGTCAAAGCAATCCTCAGTCAAGGCGACCGAAGAAAGGTTCGGGTCCTAGACAGACAAAATCCAGTCAGTCAAGGCGACCGAAGAAAGGTTTGGGTCCTAGACAGGCAAAATCCGATCGATCAAGGCGACCAGAAGAAAGGTTCGGGTCCTAGACAGACAAAATGAAATCCGATCAAGGCGACCGAAGAAAGGTTCGGGTCCTAGGCAAGCGATTTCCCCGTCGAGGCAACCGAAGGTAGATTCGGGTCCTAGACAAATGAAATCTAGTCAAGGCGACCGAAGAAAGGTTCGGGTCCTAGGCAAGCGATTTCCCCGATCAAGGCGACCAGAAGAATGGTTCGGTCCGAGACAAATGAAATCCAGTCAAGGCGACCGAAGATAGGTTCGGGTCGTAGGCAAGCGATTTCCCCGTCAAGGCGACCAGAAGAATGGTTCGGTCCGAGACAAATGAAATCCAGTCAAGGCGACCGAAGATAGGTTCGGGTCCTAGGCGAGACGATTTCCCAGTCAAGGCGACCGAAGAAAGGTTCGGGTCCTAGACAAAAACAATCCCCGTCAAGGCGACCGAAGAAAGGTTCGGGTCCTAGACAAACCATTTTTTCGTCAAGGCGACCGAAGACAAGTTCGGGTCCTCGACACACAATATCAACCATCTGGAATTACTCTACCCTTCGGCAAGGTAAGTAGCCCCAGGTATGTTTTTATTTGCTTTAGCACGCATCATCATATCGCATCATAAAAATGGGACTCCGGTCTCGCCAAAAATAACATTCATTGAGCATGCATGGGCCAAATTTAGGTGCCATTTTATCTTTGAACGTAACCTCTGCGAGCTCAATCTCTGTGAAGCTCACCTTCAAAGAGGCATTTGTGACACCTATTTTTAATTTGCCCAAAATTAATTGCAAAATTTAGGAATTAATTTTCTTTAATTCCTAAAACAAAAAATATATTTCTATTTAAATGCATTGCATATAAACATTAGGCATATGTGCATTAATAGGGCCTATTAGAGCATATTTTCTTAAATTTTAAACAAAAAAAAAAAAAAAAATTTCGAGTCGGGCCGGGTGGGCCGGGCCGACCCGGCCATTTCCTTTTTCCTTTTTCCCCGGCCCGGCCCTTTTTCTTTTCTTTTTTTCCTTCGCGCGGGCCCGCCCTTTCCTTTTTTTTTCCCTCTCGCGCATTTGGGCCAGGCCCGGCCCACCCTTCTTCCTTCCTTCTTCTTCCCCACTGCGCCGGTCGCTCTCCGCCCTGTTCTCCCCGCTCGACGGAAGCGTGACGCACGGCGGCGCCGCTTCTCGCCGTCGCCGTGCTGCGGCGAAGGAGAGCCGGATGAGCACGCCGACGGGACCGGCATTAATGGCCGGTCCGTCCTCTCCCATTTCCCTCTCCCTTATCCTCTCCTCCCTCTCGGTTCTCTGCACCCTCTCTGCACCGACCCCCCCTCTGCTCTGCACCGGCCTGCAATGGCCACGAAAGTCGTGGCGTGGCGTAGGCCGGTGCAGGCCGTCGTCACGCCGACGCAGAGAGGCAGAGAGACGCGTCGTCGCCGCCTATAAAAGCCAGAGAGAGAGAGAGAGTCCCGGTCGGTGGGCCATTTTTTTAGAAAAAAAACACAGAGAGAAGCCGAGAGAGAAAGGAAGAGACCGAGAGCTCTTCCGGCGACCGCCGTGCTCGCACCGCGTCTCAGCCATCCATCCCCACCGTCGAGCCGATGGCAGTGACACAGTGAGAGAGAGAGAGCCCCCGGTCGGCGAAACACAGAGAGAGACTGAGAGAGACAAGAGAGAGAATAGAGAGGGAGAGAGAGCAAACCGAGGCCACGCCGGAGCAAGAAAGACAACCCGGCCCGGCGTCGCTGTCGCCCACGGAGCAGGCCAGGAAGGCCACCAGGCGCACCGTCGACCAGTGAGCCCCGTAGAAACCTCCTCTGTTTCCCCCGTTTTCCGTGGTTGGGGCGGGACTCGCGCCGGCCATTTCGTGCGAATCCCGGCCCATACCGACGTCGGTCCCGGTCTCTGCTCACCGTCGGAGGCGAACCAAGGCCGTTGGAGCCGACCGAGTCGCCGGAGGAGACCGAAATCCCTTGATTTTTGCCGTGCACGCCACCTGTTCGATGAAATGCCTCAAAGAGGCTGGTTTGTTTTTGGCCGCCGGTCGGCGAACGGTGGTCCTACGGCGGCTCAAGTGAGTAGCCGCCACAGGCCGGTCCTAGTCGGGCGACTTGGGGCGGCGGCGGCTGGGTCGGCCGGACGGCCAATTTTGGCCTCGCCGGCGCCCCTCCCCGTAGTCTGTTTGTTCGGGTCGGATTCGGCCCGAATCAACGAATCCGACCGAGTCAACGCCCGGTCGGATCCGTTGACTCGGGTCGGTTCAGGCCGACCGGATCGCTGGATCCGACCGGTCAACGCCCGGTCGGATCCGTTGACGCTGGTCGGTTCCGACCGGCGGATTGGGCCGACCGGTCAACGCCGGGTCGGATCCGTGACCGGGTCGGTTCCGACCACCCGGATTGACCGTCAGACCCGGTCAACGCCCGGTCGGATCCGTTGACCGGGTCGGATCCGACCCGACCGGTTAATATTATATTATTATTTTATTTAAAATTTTTTTAAAAAAATAAAAAATTTAAAAAAAAAATTAAAAAATTAATTTTTTTTATTTTTCTTTTCTTCTGTATTATTATTATTATTTTTTTTTTCTTTTCTCGAAAAAAAAAAAAATTAAAAAAATTAAAAAAATTTGTGTGATATATTCTAAATGTTTAATTTATTATAGTATTATTATGCATATTTTTATCTTGTTTAAATTAGACAATCCTGAGATTGCGCGGTAATATTTTGCATGATAGTTTTTATTATCGCTGTATTATTATGCATGTTTTTAATACAATTCCATGAGCTATTGTGTTTTTGAATGTCATCTGACTTAGTTAAGGTTAGAACCTTAGGTTGCATGAATTGTTGTGTTCCTGACTGCTAATCGTTTCTGATTATGCACTCGTTTGATCACCTCACATGTTAGGAGAAAGGTCCTAAAATCAATCCAAATTGCACGACAAATGTTTTGAAATGAACAGGGTAAAATGGTACCGAAAGGGCATTAGTTATCCAACTAGTGTAACCAAGTCCCCGAACTCATTTAATCTCTGGTTCGTAGGAATAGGGTGATTCTCCCATCACCCTATTTGGGTTTCTAATCGACCCACCCCAAATCGATTAGTGGCGACTCCTTGATATAAACCACTTGCATGTTAAACACTTAAACCCTAAGTCGCGATGGTATGGGCTTGGGAGAGCCCGAGTTAAGTCCCGAACCTAGACTTAGCACGTACCAGGCGAGCCCCCCTTTTTTTGCATGTCGTTTAAAAAAGGGCTCGGGAGTTCGGTCGCGATAATCAAATCTAGCGAAATGGTATCACCAGGAGAGAGTTTGTTACCCATCATGAGAACCAGCTTCCTGGGGAACGTGTTACAATTATTTATGCATCCGAGGCCTCCTTCACTTCCGCCTACAATGTATCCATTGGGACAGTAGCAGAAACCCTTGCCTTGCTATTTAGGGGAACAAGAATAAGAGAAAAGGGGTCTACAACATAGTTGGCGGGCAACATAATGTTTGCCTCCTGTGTGCTTTGTGTGCTGCAGCCATGTCTTTCCGCAAGGATGTGATCCCCTCAGCCGTCTGATTAGTATGTGGGCATGCGTATTTTAGCAGAATCATTAGCTTTCCATCTAGTGTAGAATTACCATTATCCTTGTAGCTATGGTCAGCTATTGCCTGGCAAGAGGCCAGGCCTTGGAAAGTAAGATTGGCAATTGATGAATATGTGTAGCTGCTGGCCACAATATAAGAGACCAGTTGCAAGTAGACACCTCCGCAGCAATTGCATGAAACTGGATAAATGACCAAGCTTTCCGGGGGGTATCCTGTCGGTGATGGATGGAATGTTGTTGACGGCCCTATGACGGAAGAGTCCAAGCCGAGGAACAAACAGATGGTGAGAGGCGAGTCTTATCCCAGGGTTGCTCAAAAAGTCATGAAGGACTGGCACGAGGCTGGAGGGCCATTGCAGAGGTGTGAGCTCAGTGTGGAAGCAGAGGAGCGGCAAATTTCCTGCCCAGTGCCAACACACGGTTGTTGACAGTGGGAATTCAGTTACACGGAGAGGAAAGGAAGGTTATTCTGAGAACTAAGGACAGCTTCATAGTATTTGTTAAAAGTATCTGTTCTGGCACCCATCGTGTTCATATAAACCAAGGAAAACTAGGCAACAAGTGCACTTACTTGGCCCGTGTAGGATGTGGTTAAGAAACGTAAGCTAACTAAGAAGCACTGCTTTTGGATTCACCTACTCCACAAGGAATCATTTTTCCAGTCATTGTATTTTGACTTTGCTCTTTTTAGTCTTTCAATTTATCGCACAAGAAACGCGCTGGATAATTTTGCCAATCATTCTTGTTATCTGCTCTTTCAATCTTTCAGTTATCCCAGAAGAATACACCGGTGTCAACCAGCAAAGCGGAAAAAATGGTTTCTTATCAACAACAAGGAAAACCACGAAAATCCATAAAAGATATTAATGTTGCCAAACTGCATGTAACTGCTAATGTATGCTACACATGCTATCTTCGAACCAGTCTGGGATAAACAAAAATTGAAGAATGAATGCCAACTGCTCTAGCTTGATGTCAATATAGAGATTGATTCAATTTCAATTGACATGGTTGTGATATTTATCGAGTCTTCAATGATATCACCGGGTAGTCCATCTTCAAATACGTAAGGACTTTGGCTGGTCTGAGAGAAACTTTGAGATTTTCTAAGTCCTTCAAGCACCAAGGCAACCTCTCTCATAGTAGGTCTCTTTCTCCCATTTAATCTCAAACACCTCATGGCTAGCATTGCCACTGCTAGAACATCCTCCGCCTTTGCTTCATTAGCCACAACAGGATCTAGGATCTCTGACAAACCGTTTTCCTTCATTAGCAGGATAAAGCTAGCAACTAGATTTCTCCCTTCGTCGTCTCCTGATAAAGAAGATGGCTTCCGCCCTGTAAGTAACTCAACTAGCACTACTCCAAAACTGTACACGTCACTTTTATCTGAGAACTGACTGGATTGGAAGTATTCCGGGTCCAAATATCCGAAAGTACCTTGCACGGCCGTTGTCAGGTGAGTTTCTTCAGATGGAACCAGCCTTGAGGTACCAAAATCAGAGACTTTTGCAGTGTACTTGTCATCTAACAGAATGTTCGAAGGCTTTATGTCTCGGTGATAAATGGGAATTGAAGCTGCAGAATGCATGTATGCTACGGCTCCAGCAACTTCACATGCGATTCGATACCGATCTTCCCATGAAAGAGAACTATCTTTGTCACGCTGATGAATATGCTGGAACAGGGTACCATTAGGTATGAACTCATACACTAGTAAAGGAAGCTTAGTCTCCAAACAACATCCTATCAATTTTACAATGTTCCGATGATTAACCTGCGATAGAACAAGCACTTCATTAATAAACTGCTCGATTTGGCCTCTCTCGATGGTCTTTGACTTCTTTACCGCAACTATGGTACCATCTCGTAGCATTCCTTTGTAAACCGTGCCGAACCCTCCTTGACCAAGAAACCGGCTCTGGCTGTAGTTATCTGTTGCTCTTTGCAGATCTTCTTCAGAGAATATTGCTGCTATTCCATCTCTTCCATAAGGTGAGAACTTTTGTTGCAACAGCAAACCACCATTTTGCTCAAACAGTTTTTCCTTGACAATTCTGTCTCTTCGCTTCCTTAGACGTCTGTATAGCCAATAGCTGAAAAGCGAAAGACACAAGAATCCCATACCAATGCTGGCACCTAAAGCAAACAATAAGTCTATAAGGAAACTGAGAGATAACACATTCTAGTTTCATCTATTCAAATTCGCCTAGTAATTTGCCTGATATGACTAATACAATTTTACAATTCCTAAGTGTGGAACATGTCACAATACTAACTTGCATGCTCTCCTAAAGCCAGCCTATGTTTTGGCTATTGCAGTAGATAATAGAACTCTTTTCTTCATTTCTTTTCTCTGGAAGCAAATTTGCAAAGAAGCCATAAAATTTGCTGCCTGCAATTTCTTGGTTACTTTGCCAATCCTAAAGGTGTACTGTCACGATCACTGCAGCATCCCTAGTCGTGACATCGTTCAATCACAAAACATAGCTTAGGAGAGAATAAACCATTTACTTAAAATGTCTTTTTACAAATAAAGAAGAAGAAAATGATGATTATTTGCATGAAAATACCAATAGACAGCCAATGAGATTTCTGCGTTGTATTTCAATCTATAAGCAAGGAAGAATCATCAGAGAGATCAAGTGCGTCGAATGGAGGAAGGTGCCTAATAGATAAGATGCGGAGAGCAAAAAGGCTTAGTTTACATGAGTGTAAAAGAAGTGCTACGTTCCAAACTGTAGTATGCAAAATGGCGTGTAAGAAATTGGAATAATTTCACCCTCGAGTTTTTATTTTCTTTTTGGGTATTGTATGCATTATTTTGCATTATCGAATGTAACAGTCGTTGTTATAGTCAGAGACTTTCTAACTGCCATGATCAGAGCCAGAAATAGTACACGAAGAGGGTAACCTCTTGCAACAGGCATGAAGTGTTGCTGGACAGAATTAGCAGAGAGCTGAGGACTACCTATCACGAGAACCAGCTTGAAAGGAAACTTCTTCTGATCAGGCATGCAATTGAGGCCATTTCTGTACACACCTTCGGCATATCCATTAGGACAAGAGCAGAAGGAACTCTTGGACTTGTTTGCACAATTAAGGGGAATAAGGATGGTAGTAAAAGGGTATATTACCGAGGCATCCGTCATCATATTTGCCTCCATAACGCTTTGCGCACTGATGCCATATCTTTCTGCGACTGAATATACAGAATCGCCTTGTGTTACCAAATATGTAAGCAATGATTTAACCCCATCAGTTGTCTCCTTAGTACTTGGGCATGCACATCTTAGTGGAACCCGCAGCTGTGCATCTACAGCAAGAGCATCACCATCGTAGTAGTTCTGATTAATTAGAGCCGAGCAAGAGGAAAGGCCTTGGAATGTAATCCTGGATAAGTTGAAATAGTTATCACCCTTGGCCACAGTGTAAGCGGCCTGATGCGAGTAAATAGTTCCAGTGCAGTAGCAAGGAACTGGAACTATGACCAAGTCATCATAAGGTATCTTTTCGGTGGTGGATTTGATGTTGTTGATGGTGGCTATGTCCGGCGCGTCTGAGCTGAGCAGTGAAGCGATGGTGAGCGGTGAGTTGTACAGCGAGGTAGATCGAAAGGTCAGGAAGGACTGGCATTCCGTTTGAGGGCCATTGCAGAGGTAACCTTTCAGTTGAGGTAATGTGGATGAGCAGTCAAGCTGCTGCTCGTTGTCAATATATGGCTGTTGACAGTAAGATACGTGATTAAACAGAGGTAAGAGTAATAGGATCGGTGCTAAGATCGAGAGGGACGACAGATCCATGGTTTTGGAATAACAGAGATTTTGCATGCACATTGTTGCAACTTTGATATGCAAAGGACCAACCCCTGCTGTTCTTGTTGTCAACACCAATTGCAAAGTTGCCGTGGCTGGCACGCCGCAGAAAATCACCTTGCGTATTTTGACCAAGTAGCTAGCCAAAGAGTGAAAAAACCACAAAGAAAAGGAAAATTTTGACTAGTCAACAAAAGGAAGACACCAGACGTTCAGCTATTAAAAAGGGAAAAGCGCATGCACGAATAGAAAGACAAACAAAAGAAAGAATGGTAAAGAAGAATAAAGGGGAAGGAAAAAGGGGAGAGGTACACGCTACAGGGCCTCGCCAATCCTGATTCAGTTCATTTCGCAACGCCCGCTCATTCATTTAATCAAGTCTTATGTAAAATTTGAACTGCGAGGTCTGATTTTGGAGTTGTTAAGCTGTCAAATTACGTTGAAATCATAGATTAGGGCGTTGTGGAGCTTTGAGATTTGACGGGAATCGATTTAATGTAAAGTTTCAGTTGGAACGAAATTTTAAAATTTCACACGTGAGCTCCGCATTGCGGATAGTTTTGAATATCTGCTTTGGGTAAGCGATTTTTTTGATGAGTAGAAGTCATTTTGTTAGCGATTAAGCATAATTTAGTCAATTCATAATTGAGATAATGTTTTACTCAATTTTGATGTTATTTCTCACTTAATTAATAGGATTGCAAGTTTGTCGATTTGAGTAACCTTTGTTCTCTGGTCTTAATTAGGTAATTCCGGGTAAGTGGTGCTATCTCTTCTTTACGTTTCGAAAGTAATATGAATTATGAAACAACATTTTGGTTGCATAAAAGTCTAGATCAAGTATTTATACTCCTTTGCGAATCTGGTTTATGAAATGAATTCTGAATTAATTTGAGAAAATGTTTTACGAAACGTAATTTGAGTTGAGTTGCAAAAACATATATGTTTTGGTTGTGAAATGTCTTTTAGGTTTATGAGATGGCTTTTGAATTTGATTTTTGGTATTTGAGGATGATGGTTTCATGCTCATTATCACTGTGAACTTGCTTTTAGGTCTCTGGATATGCATACTGATTATAGGATATTCTATAAGTGGAGACATTACCAAGGGAAAAACTTGGTCGCCTTTCTACCAAGCATTATGCCATGACCATAGTAGGATATGAACAATAGATTTTACAATGGAATGGACCATTGGTATGTGTGTTTGATAGAGATTGATCAATGGACTTGACCATTGATAGAAAAATGGTTGTGTCATTCTCTCATTTTTGTTGGATTTGGGGTGTGACACTATCAATTGTAGAAGAAATAATGATACAAATGGTCTTTAAACTTTGACCCAATATGTAATATAGTTTAATGTGGTCTTCTAGATTTTTGGTACATGTTTAACTTAGTCATTGAACTATATGAAAATGTCCAATGTCGTACCTTCATTAATTCAAGTTTAGGGAAAACATTAAACATTTTCATATAGTTCGGAGACTGAATTGAACATATATAAAAAATTCAGAAATCACATTAAATAAATTAAAAATTGAGAAATGACGTTACACATTAAGTCAAAGTCCAAGAGCCATTCATGTCATTTTCTAGTTGCAAAATCTAGCCACTTCAAAGACTAAGAGCTCCATCAGGTCCGGAAGCCACCCGTCCAGTGGTACACGTAGCGGTAGACTTGCGGTGTTGACTGCTGACGGTGACGGTTCCTTTTTGAACGAAATAGCAAACGTGAAGAATTGTCAAACATTGCTCTGGAACAGGTTTTTCATGTGATAATTAATTTGTTATGTTGCTCTTCCGTGTTTATGCCTCCTTCGCTGAAGTACCAAACTTCCTTCGCTTATGTTATATCCGTGAAATGCTCATTTAAGATCCAAAGAGATGATACAGAAAACGGCACCGGGCCCTTTCATTTCCAACACAAAACGAAAACAATTACTTCACGGATTAGAAGAAATAAGGAGAAATTGTTGGGGTATAGTTCATACTCTTTATTAGGGGTGATCGGTTCTCGGGTGGTCCAGTTCCCGATTTCAAATGGTGCCCCTAGAACCGGTCAATCCGGTCAAGTTCGGTGGGCCAATGAAACCGGTGGCATATTCATTTTTTTTTTATTTATCGTTAATGTTCAAGATGAAATTGAAGATGTTCTTGATAATCAAGACATTTCTATAATGGGTGAGTTACGTATAACATTGTAGGTTTCACATAGATTTTTTCAATTTGTGGCAAAATTTCGTTGAAATAAGCAATTACTATTGAGTTTTGATTTGTTCTTGTCATCTTTCTCACGTGCATAAGTATACGTAATTGCTCCAGCCTTGAAGGGTCTTCCTTAGTGAAATGGGAGATAGATTAGGGTTTTCCTTTACAAATTTTAAAAAAATTTAAAAAAATCGGTCCAGTTTCCACACTTGGAACCAGGAATCGAACCGAAATTCACCGGCTCCAATTGTCTGGAACTAGACCGGTGCCCCCAGAAATCGCTCAGAACCGACCAGTCCGATTCGATCTGGGCGGTTTTTTTTGCTCACCCCTGCTCCCCATCGATAAGAAGGGAAGTATGAATAGCTATTGAGTGGCTTGTGGCTTTCATGGCCACTAGGATTTTCTTGTGTCACTTATATATAATCTCTTTCTCTTGTAATTGAGAGTTGTAACAGAAACGTGGAAGATTCGAATTATAGTAGAATCCTTTACTGGATATAGCTCTACTTCAAGAGTAAATCAGGATAAAATCTTATGTCTCGACTTCTTTTTCTCGCATTTACTCTTCATATTGTTGTTTTTGTGCACATAATCCTAATAAAAATAAACAGAGTTTTGATGGTTGAACTTAGACTGGCAGATAAAAATCGCCTTCAAGGCAGTCCCACCAATCCTTCAAGAAAAGTCACCTACATTTGTTATGACCGTGCTACAACGTTCTTCAATTCCACTAATTGACTAGAAATTATACTGGCCAGTCATCCTTGGCTTTAGCTCTGCTTTTCTAAGTCTTTCTTTTAGACCCAGCGCGGGCACCAGCGGGCGTACCGCACAGATTGCATCCAAATATGTTCTTAAAAGTTAAAACCCACATGAGGATTGCACACTCTTCCATGAGAACAAATGAATGGAGTTTACCTGGGTTGTGCCAATGACAATTCTTGGCTGCGCTGAAATGTCAACCCCAATCGTCGCCGTTCTTCCTCATGAAGTTGCGCGGATCCAATTAACAATCCATTGTTTGGACACGGAACAAGTTTGAAGTTTCAAATTGAGTATGTAGCAGCTGCCGAAACTGGAAAAAGAAATTCGGTTGACCTTGAATAATCCGCCAAATGATCTCGAACAGCTCACGAGGACTTGAATGTCAACAGCTTTTTCAGTAAAACACAGAAACGAAACGTTCATGCACATATTAAATTAGGCGTCGGGCGCTCGCTCGCCGGATCGAAAACCATTCGCTTCACGACATATGCCTACCCCACTTGAGATTGAAGTAGGTATAGATCATGAACACGCTTTCCAGACTCTGTAGAAAGCTACTAAAAATTGACAAAGGCACATTGAAAGAACAACGACAGAAAAAGAGAAAAAAAGCTATTCATCAAGGGACGGTACATGCAAAGTTGCTCCTGCCCTGCATCATAAAGGCACTTCTATTTCCCATCCTTGGGCCTGATTTCTATCCCTTCCACAACCAACCCAGCTTCCGAGTTTCTGCCATTCGCCTCCATCACACTCATTTCAACCTCCCCATCTTCTCCTTCCTTCGTCGAGAACTCGCGCAGCTCTATCTCTGACCGGCCATCTTGTCTCTCTTTAGGACAGTTCCCATTCCCCTCGGCAGGTGCAGGTGTCGGCAACCCCCCATCACAATCGTTGTCGACCAATTCAAAACGCGCTGGTAAAATATGGAAGCCAATGCGCCTAAATCTCAACCGGGACTGCTTCATCACCAGCAAATCCAGCTCCAACCTCGACGGCCTGGAATTGGAATTCATATGCCGTCGGGGTGGATTTGAATACCAAGTATGGCAGGGGACTCGTCAGTGTATTTCGATTTCAATATAAAAATTAAGTTCAAATGTACCAAACTGAGCTTGGTCTAATTTCCTCTCAAATCATGTCATTACTCTCTAGCCCCTAGATTCAATCATCTTCAGTTCACTCGGTCTTAACTCAAGAATGCAAAATTTCTCGTTGCAAACGCAGCACGAAGCAGCCAAGTTTCACAGGGATTCTGAGGATCATGTCAGTAAACAGGACAACTTGATCGTTATCGAACAGTGACGCATCTTCTGAAGAAACCATATCCGATGATAGCTGTGTTAGGCTGTAAAAGTGCTGATGTTTTTTAGTATGAACTTGTGAATAATTCTATCCTACTTATGCTATGGATTTTGTCAAGAAGCAATTCGGAAATGCGGAAGCTGCAACTTGAGGCTAATTCTGGATAACCCATAGGCCATAAACAATGTTGTGGAACTTGATAGATAGAAGCACTAGGTTTCAATACCAACATCACTTGAAGGATTACTCAAAAGGAGATTGAGGAAAGTGAGCAGCTTCAACGTATCCGCTAGATATTTTCCAGCAAGTTTCTAGCAAAGTTGATGTGTGCATATGACAAGTCTACAGGAGGAATCAGAAAAACTAGTTTATGACGTAGCCAGTTTGAAAAATATCCAAAGCCCCATGCATCAGTGATTGGGAAAGAGAGAACCATATCAATCGCCTAATGCAAAGAGAGTCAACCATTAATATTGATCCATGAAAATGAGCTCTCCCACCTTAATTTACAGCAAATCTTTAGAATGAAGCTTGGATAGGTATTCGATGGTTAAGAAAAACATCAAGCTGCAGTAAAGTAAAAAGAATCCTTTAACTGAAAGGTGTCTTCTGGTAACTGCATGCTACATATGCGATCTCCAAAGCTGTTTAGGATAAACAAACATTAAGTTCAGTATGAATGCCGAATATTGTATCTCGATATCTATACTGAGATTGATACAGCTTCAAGTGATATGGAAGTGCTATCTATTGATTCTTCATTGGCTTCACCGGGTAGTCCATCTTCAAATGCATAAGGATTTTGGCTGGTCTGAGAGAAACTTTGAGATTTCCCAAGTCCTTCAAGCTCCATGGCGACCTCTCTCATGGTAGGCCTCTTTCTCCCATTCAATCTCAAACACCTCGTGGCAAGCCTTGCTACTGCAAGAACCTCCTCTGCCTTTGCTTCATTGGCCACAACAGGATCTAGGATCTCTGACAAACGGCATTCCTTCATTAGCAAGATAAAGCTAGCAACTAGATGTCTCCCTTCATCATCTCCTGAGAAGGATGTTGGCTTACGCCCTGTGAGTAACTCAACTAGCACAACTCCAAAACTGTACACGTCACTTTTATCTGTGAACTGACTAGATTGGAAGTACTCCGGGTCCAAGTATCCGAAGGTGCCTTGCACGGCCGTCGTCAAGTGAGTTTTGTCAAATGGAACCGGCCTCGAGGTACCAAAATCAGAGACTTTTGCAGTGTACTTGTCATCCAGCAGAATGTTAGACGGCTTTATGTCTCGATGATAAATGGGAATTGAAGCTGCAGAATGCATGTATGCTACTGCTCCGGCGACTTCGCATGCGATTCGATACCGGTATTCCCATGAAAGGGAGCAATCTCTATCTTGCTGATGAATATGCTGTGACAGGGTGCCATTAGGGATGAACTCATACACTAGTAAAGGAAACTTAGTCTCCAAACAACATCCTATCAATTTTACAATGTTCCGATGATTAACCTGCGATAGAACAACCACTTCATTAATAAAATGCTCAATTTGACCGCTGTCGATGGTCTTTGACTTCTTCACGGCAACTATGGTACCATCTGGAAGCATCCCTTTATAAACCGTGCCAAACCCTCCTTGACCAAGAAACCGGCTCTGGCTGTAGTTATCTGTTGCGCTTTGCAGATCTTCTTCAGAGAATATTGCTGCTCTTCCATCTCTTCCATAAGGTGCTAACTTTTGTTGCAACAGCAAACCACCATTTTGCTCGAACAGTTTCTCCTTGACAATTCTGTCTCTTTGCTTCCTTAGATATCTGTATAGGCAATAGCTGAAAAGCGAAAGACACAAGAATCCCATACCAATGCCGGCACCTAAAGAAAACAGTAAGTCTATAAGGAAACTGTGAGATAACACATTCTAGTTCTGTCTATTCAAAACGCTCCTATTAATTCGCCTGAGATGACCAATCCGATTTTGCTAATCCTAAGTGGGGAGCATGTATGCTCTCCTAAGTCAGCCTATGTATAGGTCGTTGAAGTAGACAATAGAAGTCCCTTCTACTTCACTTTTCTCTAAAAGCAAATTCACAAAAAAGCCATCTAAAATATTCAAATTGCTGCCTGCAATTTCTTTGTTACTCTGCCAAATTTAAAGGAGTACTGTCACATCACTGCAACATCCCTAGTGGTGACAGCGTTCAATCACAAAACATAGCTTAGGAGAGAATAGACCATGGGCTCGAAATGTCATGTTGCAAATGAAGAAGTATATGATGAATATTTGCATGAAGCCACAATACAAATACACAGCAAATGAGATTCACGTGTTGTATTTCAATCTATAAGCAAGGAAGAATCATCAGAGAGATCAAGTGCGTCAACTGGAGCATTTGAGCAAGACCGGAAGGTGCCAAATAGATAAGATGCGGAGAGAAAAAATGCCTAGTGTAAAAGACTGTAAAGAAAGTGCAAAGGTCCCAAGTGTAGTATGCAAAATGGCGTGCATAAGAAAATGGAATAATTTCAAACTCGAGCTTTTGTCTCAAGTATTGGATGCATAATTTTGCATTATTGAATGTATCTCCTTGCAATACTCACAGACTTTCTAACTGCCATCATCAGAGCCAATAATAGTACAGGAAAAGGGTCACCTCTTCCAATCAGGCATGCAGTGTTGCTGGACGGAATTAGCAGAGAGATTCGATGGCTACCTATCACGAGAACCAGCTTGAAAGGAAACTTCTTCCGGTCAGGCATGCAATTGAGGCCATTTCGGAGCCCTCCTTCGGCATATCCATTGGGACAATAACAGAAGGCACTCTTGGAATTGTTTGCACAATAAAGGGGAATGAGGATGGAAGTAAAAGGGAATATAGTAGAGCTGTTCGTCATCATATTTGCCTCCAAAACGCTTTGCGCAGTGACACCGAATCTTTCCGCAATTGAAGTCACAGTATCGCCCCACGTCACCAAATATGTAAGCGAGGATTTAACCCCATTAGCTGTCTCATTAGTACTTGGGCATGCGCATCTTAGTGGAACCAGCAGCTGTGCAGCTACAACAAGATCCTCACTTGTATAGTAGTTCTGATCAGCTAGAGCCTGGCAAGAGGACAGGCCTTGGAATGTATCATTGGCTACGGTGAAATAGGTTTCACCCTTGGCCACAGTGTAAGTGACCTGGTGCGCATAAATAGTTCCAGTGCAATGGCAAGGAACCGGAACTATGACCAAGTTATCATAAGGTATCTCTTCGGCAGTGGAACTGACATTGTTGACGGTGGCTATGTCCAATGCATCTGAGCCGAGCAGCGAAGTGATGGCGAGCGGTGAGTTGTATAGGGAGGAAGATCGAAAGGTAAGGAAGGATTGGCATTGAGTTTGAGGGCCATTGCAGAGGTAACCTTTCAATTTAGACAATGGGGATGAGCAGCTTAACTGCTTATTATCAATATATGGTTGTTGACAGTAGGATCTGTGATTAAACAGAGACAAGAGTAATAGGATCGGTGTTAAGATTGAGAAGGAGGACAGATCCATGTTTTTGGAATAACTGATATTTGGCACGCACGTAGTTGCAACTTTTGAATGCAAAGAACCAACCACTATGTTGACGAAAACACCATGTGCAACGTTGCCGTGGTTGACTCAGACTCACCGTAGAAAATCACCTTCAAGACCATCAATCGCGGAATCTCCTTCAGAGACTACAAGAGTTCCATCAGGTCTAGAAGCCACTCATCCAGCGGTAAACGTAACGGTAGACTTGTGGAGTTGACTTTTGATGGTGACAGTTGGTGCCATTTTCAACGAAATTAGCAAACCTAAAGAACTGTCCATCATTGCTCTATAACAGGTTTTAGTGATTATTAATTTATTTATTATTGCTCTTCTGTGTTTATGCTTCCTTTCCTGGGGAAGAAGAGGTTCTCAGAAAACGGCACCAGGCCCTTTCATTTCCAACATAAGAGGAAAACTAGAAGAAAACCAGGAACTTTTTTTTTTTTTGGTCGACGAAAACCAGGAGCTTAACAAGTAGAAATGAGCAGAGTTTTCACTGTTGAACTTTACTTGTAGATAAAAATCGCCTTGGAGACAGTCATTGGCTTTGACTCTACTTTTCGAAGTCTTTCTTTTATCCCAGAAGAGACTTGCCGCCACCAGCCAATACCACAGAAAATGAAGAAAATTGTCCAATAAATTTTAAATATATTACATTTTTATCAATTCAGTATTAAATCTTTCAATTTTACTAATTGAGTTCTAAATATTTTCACGTTTTGTTAATTGAGTCTATCCGGCCCAATTTTAATCGGAAATCGCTGACGTGGACAAAGGCGGCCTCACCCGCGCCGCGGCCAGTGAGGCCCTGGCGAGGCCGCCTTGCACACACCCCGCCCAGACCATCGCATGGCGCGGCCTACGGAAATGCTGAGTATCAAGCGCATAAACCTAGTCTTCTCAGTTCGATGAAAGCGAAAGCAAAGACTTCGCGAGGTTTCGTTTGTCGTGGCAGATAGGCCTCGGGGATTTTGTTTGTCCAGTGCAGTGCACGTAACCCATATAAAAAATTAAGTTCAACGTACCAAACTGAGCTTTGGTCTAATTCGCTGTCAAATCACATCATTAATAAGTAGAATTTTCATGGTTAAACTTTACTAACAGATAGCCTCCCAGAGGTTGTCTAAGTTGGTAAGGTTGTAGGACTTGGGGTCAAAGGTCCCAAGTTCGAGTCCCCTCTGTCGCGTAGTCTTATCATACTCTTGACTTACATGGAGGCTAGTTTGTGGGGCCAGATTAGCTTTCTTCCGGTTGGTGCCTGGCCGGTCGGACCCTTGTAGTGCTGCCAGTGCGGGAGTCCGGATTATCAAAAAAAAAAAAAAAACTTTACTAACAAATAAAAATTGCCTTGGAGACAGTCAATGGCTTTGACCCTACTTTTCCGGGTCTTTCTTTTATTCCAGAAGAGACGCGCAGCGAATACCACAGAAAATGAAGAAAATTGTCCAATAAGTCCTAAATATATTGCACTTTTGTCAATTCAGTATTAAACTTTTCAATTTTATCAATTGAGTTCAAAATATTTTTACGTTTTTTCAATTGAGTCCATCCGGCCAATTTTGGCCGGAAATCGCTGACGTGGACGAAGGCGACCTCCCCTGCGGGTGGTGAGGCCATGGCCGCCTTCGCCCGCGGCCAACAAGGCAGCCTCGCGCACGCCTTGCCCAAGCCATCGCGAGGCGTGGCCTCCGGAAATGCTGAGAATCAAAGCGCATAAACCGTAGTCTTCTCGGTTCGATGAAGTGGAAGCAGAGACTTCGCGGGGTTTTCCTTTGTAGAGGCAAGTCGGCCTGGGGGTTTTTGTTCGTCCAGTGCACGAAGCCCATATAAAAAATTAAGTTCAGATGTACCATACTAAGCTTGGTCTAATTTCCTCTCAAATGACATCATTAATAAGCAGAGTTTTCATGGATGAACTTGACTGGCAGATAAAAATCGTCTTCGAGACTAAGCAGCTAAATTTGACAGGGATTCTGAGGATCATGTCAGTAAACAGGATAGCTTGATCGCTATCGAACAGTGATGCATCTTCTGAAGAAACTCTGATGATAGCTGTGTTAGGCTGAAAAAGTGTTTATGTTTTAGTATGAACTTGTAAATAATTTTATCCTACTTAGGCTATAGATTTTGTCAAGAAGCAATTCAGAAATGCAGAAGCTGCAACTTGAGGCTAAGTCTGGATAACCCATAGGTCATAAACTGTTAAAATATGTCTCGAGTTTAAGCCCGTGAACAAAACCCGACTCAAGATAAATTAATGGAAAATCTGAAAGTTGAATATTTGTAGATGTCCACCGTGGAGATCTACACTTCCTGTTCAATTTTGGAGTGCAAAGCGATGTTGGAATTTTGATAGTGAAAAATAAACTTAAAAAAGGAAAGTGGATATTTGGACTTCAGGTTGCTGATTTGTTGAGTCCAACAAAAGTTCCAGTAGTTTTTGTTTTTTGTTTTGGTCAGAAAAGGAAGCCATTTCATTCATGTTAAACAGTTGATAAGTACACAAAAAGAGCTTCTGAGCATAACAAATCCCAAAGGGCTTGTGGTGGATTGAAAACCCAGTTGAGTGGGAGGATATTATGGACTTGAGCTTTAACGATCCAGTCCGCAACCTTGTTCTGGGTCCGTGCACAGTGGGCCAACCGGAGACCTTTTACTCTGATAAGCAAGTCTTTACTCTCTCTCATCAGCGCATGGACTTCCCAAGAGACCTGATCTGTGCCTTGAAGCATTCTAACTAAAAAGAGATTGTCTGACTCCAACTCTATCTCTTTACATTCTTTCTCTTCAAAGCCACGTGAGTTTAGCCACTTCAATGCTTCCAACAGAGCTAAGGTTTCGGCATGGAGGGGAGATCGAACCTGCACAGAGCTCGCGAATCCGTCAATCAGCATTCCGGAGGAGTCTCGGCACACCCACGACACCGCACCAGCCCCTTCTCTCTCCAGAAACGCTCCATCTACTTTTATTTTCAGAGATCCCGAGCGTGGTGGAATCCAAGAAATCTGTGAGTTCTCCTTTCTTTTCCCTTTTCCTATGGGTTTAGAGCTCCAACGAGTAATTTTGTCGTTCATTGCACAGGCATCCGTGACAACACTCCTCGGATCTGGTTTGGTGCCCCTGAATATGAAATTATTAGGAGATTTCCATATGTGCCAAAGAATAGCTGTGGCAAGCTCCAGGTTTGGCTCATCCCTTTTGGTGCTTCGGTAATTTAGTAATCATTGATCAATTCGATTGAGTCCATGACTCGAAATCCTGACTTGTACCCACGAATCTGACCAGATTTCTTGAGTCCATGAACAGAGGAGGAACAAGTGCTCAAGAGTTTCTCGATTCTGCTGGCAAAGAGGGCAATCAATTTCCGTATAAACGTTGGTCAACAAAACAACAAAATAGGAAAGTGGACTTGGTTTCCTTCTCTAATTCTGTCGCATGACTATATGTATAAATATTCAGCTTGTGGGAGCATTGAGGTGAGGTGTGCTGTTGTCAAAGGCGTGAAGAATCCTTGAAGTGCCGTTCGAGCTCTTGACAGTGGGTATTCTTCGTGGGCTTTCTTCGTGAATTACATCCCATGAAGTAAGTGTTCAATCCATAAAATCTTGCGTTAATATTTATGTTAAATTCGTTCGTGAGATTGAAAAATTATTGCATGAGGAATTGCGGGCTAACTTATTGAAAGAGCAATCAATAAAATTGGGCATGAGAATGTGGTCCAAGTAATTGCTGATAATGTTTCAAATTGTAAGGGCGCGAGACAACTCATTGAGCAAAAATTTCCATTCATTGTTTGGAGGCCTTTTGTGGTGCACACCCTTAATCTAGCTTTGAAGAACATTTGTGCCGCAAAGAATGTAGAGACCAATCGAGTGGTTTATGAGGAATGTAGTTGGATTTCAGAGATTGTTGGGGAAGTTATGCAAATCAAACATTTCATTATGAACCATTCCATGAGATTAGCAATATATGAAGTTGTTTTTCATAGCGGATACACGTTTTGCTTTGATGATTGTAATGCTTAGAAGGTTTAAGTTAATAAAAAGTGGTCTTCAAAGCATGGTTATTTGTGACAAATGAAATATCTATTGATATGATAATAAAGGGAGGGCTAAGTTTGTCAAGGAGAAGGTGTTGGATGATATTTTGTTGGGTTCAGTCGATTATATACTTCCATTCACGGCTCCTATTTATGAAATGCTTAGAATTTGTGACACCGACAAGCTTTGTTTTCACTTAGTTTATGACATGTGGGATTTAATGATTAAACAAGTGAAGAGAGCTATACATATGCATGAACTGAAAAGGCTACATGAAGAGTCTACTCGTTCATATAATTCTTGGGATCATTGGACTAAAAACAATACTCTACTTCATTGTTTGACACATGTCTTGAATCCTAGGTAAGTTCTAAAATTGTATGAGATTATTACTTTATTAGTTATTTTTTCTTTGACATGATAATAAAATACTCATCTTACTTATTATGGTTTTCTATTTTTATTTTATTTTATTAAATAAGGTACTATAGTGATCAATGGCTAAATGAAGATCTACTCGAGTTTCTCCATACAAAGATAAGGAGATCAACCAAAAAAGACTAAAATGCCTTAGGAAACACTTTCCTAACTTGGACTAGCGCAACAAGGTGTTTGGATAATGTAGATTTTACGAGAAAAAATGGGGATTTCAGAGAATTTGATTCCATTCAAAATCGATATTCTATGGATCCTAAGGCTTGGTGGGTTAATGCTTCAAAGCAAGCCTTAAAGCTTCTTGCACAACCTTCTTTTTCATCATGTACCCAAAGGAATTAAAGTTCTTATTCCTTTGTGTACGCGGTGAGAAGAAATAAGATGACCCCAAAACGTGCAAAAGATTTGGTTTTCATTCACAGAAGCATTCGTTTTCTATCAAGAAAAAGCTCACAATATGTAGAAGTGTTGACACCTAAATTTCGGCGCATCATTTAGTGATTAATTGCATAGAAAATTAGGGATTAAATTTTAATCCCTGAACAAAAATATTACAAATCGCATAGCATAAAGTTTAGGTTCATATAGATTAACTGCATTTCGCATCGGATCGGCGGTGGTAAGCGAGCTTAAAATTCATTACGTAAATCGAGCTCGGGCACCGAACGAGATTCGGCTCACTTGGAAAGCATGGGCCGAAAATCACACACAAAAGGGCTTGGTTGTCTTAATTTGAGCTTAAATTAGCCCATTATGCTTAATTAAAGAAAAGCCCAAATTAATTCAGCCCATTTAGAATTAAATTAAAGCCTAAACCTAAGCCCATTAGAACTAGAAAGCCCGGCTAATTGACCTAGGTTTACATTATAAATATATGTTAATGTCTCATAATCAAGGAGGGGGGCTCTCATAATTTTTCAGATCGGATTTTTAGAGTGACATGCGAGAGAATTTTGAGAAGAGTGAGAGAGAGAGGGAAGGAGACCGCCCGCCACGCCGCACTGCACGCCTACCGCGCCACCGCCGCCTGGACGTCCCTGCTCCGCCCGCCTGTGTCGCCGCTGCTCACAGCAGCTCGGCCAGCAGGAGAGCCGCCTACAGCACCGCCGCTCGCCTAAAAAGCCGCCACCTGCACCGCCAGCTCGCCGCCGAGCCCCGCTGCACCGCCGTTAGCCCATTGCTGTCTGCTTAGTTGTTCGGCCACGATACTGTCGGAGAGTCGCAAAGATCCCCTCACTGTTGGCCCTCCGCCCAGGAGACACCCGGCCGCGCCGCCGTTCCCGTCGTGTCACCGTCGCTAGCCGCCACTGTTCCCGACGTCACGCCGCCGCTCCCGACGCACCGCCGATCCGCAATCCCGATCCGCTACAAATTCAAATTAGGAAAGAAATCTGCAAATCAGGTAATTATCATATCCCGATTTGATTCGAATATTTGGTTGCCTAATTTGTGCTTATTGATATCTAATTTTGCATATTTGGATAATAAGCATTATTTCAATTAGGATTTTATTTCCTTTTTTGAAATCTTGGATATCTATTACTTTTCAAACTTGGATAGAATTTAGAATTTTCAAAATCTTTTGAATATATCCAAGATATTTAAGATATCTAATTTTTTTCAAGATGTGATCGATTAGGAAAATTTCCTAATCCGACGCACACGTGGAAATAAATCTATCTATCGGGCTTTAGATAGAGTTATTTCCATAGCGGTATTTCGAATTTTAGGATCGATCCGCGGCCTTGGATCGAAACTTAATTCGAAAGATTTAGCGGTTATATTTTTTACTTGATTTTAATTTCGAATTTTGATAAAAAAAAATGCCAAAAAGATTACTCTAGAATAGGTTAATTTCTTTAGTTTAAAATTGCATGTTTAGATAATTGGCATTTTTAATTCCGAATTTCATTAAAGAAAAAATACAAAAAAAAATAATATGCCCGTCATTAGAAATAGATCACGTCGTCGCATGACATATAGTTTGCATGTTAGGTTGCATTAATCACATGTCAATTTTTGCACGTCATTATATATAGGTTAGCTTTCATTTAAATAAATAAAAAATCAAAAAAGAAAATTTCTGCACCTTTGAACTCTAAGTCAGGATTTATCAAAATTGTCCAATTGAGTATTTCTCTTGAAATTGGTACCGAAAGGGCGTTAGGGAATCTAGCGTAACCAAGTCCCCGAATTTATAATTTCTGGTTCGCAGAAATAAAATAGTACTCCCGCTATTTTATTTAGGTTTCTAATCAACCTACCTTAAATGATTAGTGGCGACTCCCATTGAAAATATTTGCATGCTTACAATTGGACCTAAGTTGCGATTTGGTAGAGTTTGGGAGAACTCGAGCTAGGTTAGTTAATTTAATTGATCTAGTAATCCATTAGCCTAAGATCGAAAACCCGATTTTTTTTAGGTCGGGACAGCTTGGCGACTCCGCTGGGGAGATTAACTTTAATTTTTTTAAAAAAAAAATTAAGGAGGACTTAGGCCAAAAATTTTTTATGGAAAAATCACTCGATTTGACAAAATTTGATCGGATTCTCATTCTTAGGTGTTAAATGGTTTTGCAGGATGGGAGTTATAAGGGGAGTAGTGATTGGCTAACCCTTTGTTTTGCAGGCTTGGTGGAGTGGAATTGTGATTTAATTTTTGCACTATTGAAGTGGTGTTTGCATATAATTGTTGTGCATGATTTACAGTATTTGAACTACACCACACACAACCTGTGACCGGACCTGGGTCACACCCGTAGTTTTAAGATGGTATTTGGATGGTTCTTTAACCTTGGTGGTAAGACTTCGCTAAAGGTTATCCCATTTGGATCCCGAAATTTTTTTCAAAAAATGGCTCAAGGGTCATCCTCATGCACGTGAGGCTACAATGCATGGAGGTTACCCTTGTCGACCGAACCAAGCCAAAGTGATTGGACCCGACTAGTCATGACTACGGTATGCGAGGCCGCGACTAGTCATGATGATTGTACACGAGGCTGCGACGTGTCGTTCCGTTCATCATTTCACTTTGCAAAAGCCATTAGGATAGATAGATTAAGATTTAAACTCACGATTCATGTGCATGTCTCTGTGATTGACATTTTTTCCCCAAAGACGGTAATTTCTCGAGCTTTATCTTTGGTTTTCTGTATCTTATTTTGAGTCGGTCCATGGTTTAGGTTGAGTCTTTTGGCACGTGGTCTATAAGAATGGGTCGCCTCGATATCCGTTTTGTGCCTACTCCGAAGCTAGAGCTCAAGAAGTTATGGAGCCAGTTGAAGCCAGATGGTCAGCAATACGTTCTCAAGCGTATTGGATTCATGCTGCCAATCCTAGACATAGATGTTCAGAGTGGGATCATGCAAGCACTCGCTCATTTTTGGTGCCCCGAGACAACCACATTTGTGTTGGGAGGTAAGTTTGAGCTCACACCGACTCTGGAAGAATACAGTATTGCCATTGGGAAATCGATTGAGTTGGATATAGTCGAACCACCCATTAAGGTAGATCCTGTGGTAGTGCTTGCTGAATTTTTGAATTTGACTAAAAAGGAAATTGAAAAAGTGCTAAAGGGTAATTGTCAAGCATGCCCATTA